CACATAGCAGTTTGAACTGAAACTCCCTCATCCCTTTTGACCATAAGCTTCATGAAAGTTAACACTGTTGTGCAGGTGTAAAAACATCATACAACCCTCAAACGTGAGTACAGACTGCAAAACACACTCAACAATGTAGTGGTCTATCCAGTTTCTGGGAACACACTTCAAGGAAAGACATGTTCCCTATGGAAAGGGTCCAAAAAGGAAGAAAGAATGAGGAAAGCTAAAAGTTGTTACGTGTAATATCTGAGTGAATTGGCATTCTTTAGTTACTCTTTAATCTAGAGAAGTAGACTCAAGTGGGACAGCATTACCAACTTTCAAATATGTAATATGGTTGCAGAGAACAAGGTAATAAATTGGTTTTCTATATCCACAGAAGGCAAATAAATAGCAGTAATGGTTTTAAATTGCAGCAATAAGCATTCAGGTAACACATCAGAAATTCTTTCTGCAAAAGATATAATAAAACAAACAGAATATACCAAACCAAAAGGCTTTAAGAAGAGGTTAGACAAACAATTGCTTAGGAACAATGTAGGGGTGGTGCATGTATTTTATTTATATATTTGTATATTTTATTTCAATACATGCATATATACACAGAAAACCAGCGATCTCTGACATATCTTCCAGTCTATTCTTGTCTATGAGTTGCCATAGTAGGTATATGCAATACACATGAGAAAACAAATCATTTAACATACTTCTTCCCTGATGGTAATTCCATCTCAGTGGAGTCAAACCCACAGCTTGCAAGTGGGATATTGGTCACAGAACCTGAAACATTGATCACTGGCACCAGCAATTAAAAAGGTGAAACAAAGCCAACAAAGGAAGCAGAGTATAACATAACTTGTAAAACATTAGACATTCCAAATTACTACCCAGGAGACAGCAAACAGAAAAAAAAAAATTGCCTAGAATCCTGTCCATAGGTGTATCAACATCAAATTTACATATAGATCTACAAGCACCAATACCCTATAAACCACCATTTTGAATCCAGCCTACACCAGTGACAGTATTAACAACACTTCACAGCAAGGGCTGGCGATACAGCTTTCTATAGGCACTTTTACTCTTCTCTTGTTACTGTATTAAAGTTTAAAACTACCTTGCAGAAGCTGAACATCAGTATCACTAAACCACGATGAGAAGCATGCTGAATCAAGAAAAAATGCCTTAGAATTAGACTATGCCTTGTAAATGCAAAGAAATACAGCTCACAACCTATACAAGCTGCAGTTGAATTCTCCAGCTGTTCACATCCTTAAAGGCATACTTTCCTGGGCTATTTTTAACTCTATTCATTTTGAACTTGAAACACAGACCAACTGAGAGCCAGAACAAAAGAATTATCTCCCCAAAATTACTCTCCTTCCAAGTACGCATAGCAAATTTATGCAAGGTCCAAACATTCAAAGGAACAAGTAAAAATCCATTGTGTATTTTCCCAGTACTGACATTCTCTTACTTAAAGCTATAAAAGTAACAAAAAACACCCTAACTTTTTGGAACAAAAAAGGCTAAACCCTGTTTTTCTACAATTTTTGTGAACTACAGCAAACCATGAGCTATAATCTCAATCATCCATTAGAGGAATAAACATTTGTACCACATTGGTTTTAATTTTTTAACTCCTAGGTGCCATACAAGCAGGAAAGCCACTACACACAACCAGCTTAAGGACACCTGGAGCAAAAGATTAAGAAGAGAAGGCGTTCTTACATCCACTACACCCTTTTGCCGCTCTTTCAGCTTTTGCTGCCCAACCGGGGAGCGCCGAGCTCTCCCTGCCACCGCCTGCCACAGCCCCCAGTTTCTTCTCCCACCTTGCCCACTTGCTGCAGGCTTCCCACACCCACCCCAGGGCCGGTGCCTGAGAATCACCCGGCGAACTGTTGGCTGCCCAGCAGTAGAAGGCTCAAAAGCTTATTTAAGCACCAAGAGGCCTCAGCTGGGAGGGTCACTTAGAGCCACCACTCTCTTTTCTAAACCCTTGAGAAATTTAAAGCGTTTGTAACAGCTTCTAGCTCCCCCAAGGCAAAGGGACCCAAGCAAGGGCGCGC